GCCGGCCATCGTGATGCGCTGCACGCGATGGCAGGCGTCCGTCTCCGTGTCCGCGCTCGTCGTCGTTGCGGCCGTGTTTCTTCATGCACAGCTGGCCGACGACAGAGTGCCAACCGGAGGAGACCCGTACTCAATCCTCGGCCTCGCGAATGGCGCCAGCCAGCAGCACGTCACAAAGGCGTACCGCTCGCTCGCGAAACGGTGGCATCCCGATCGCATGCATGGCGACAAGGATGTGTTTGCGCTCGTGGCTCACGCTTACGACGTGCTCACCGACCCGGAGAAGCGCGACGTGTTCGATCGGCTGGGCGCGCGAGGGCTCGAGAGGCTGCGCGACGGCGACCCGTCCGTCCGCAAGGACTGGCTTTCGGACGCGGAGATTCTGCGCCGCGTGCACAACGACGGCGAGGAGGGTTGGCTCGACCGGCTGGTCACTTCGGGCTTTGCGTCGCTGAGCGCAGGGGCGGCCGCCTGCAGCCGGCGGCTCGCACCGAGCCTCCGGTGGCTCACCGGCAGGGAGTGGCCGTCGGTGGTGATCACCGCCTCGGACGGCGACGGTTCTGCTCTCTACTCTGGCGGCGCCACCCGTGGCGGCGCGTCTGCACGCGGTGCCGGCGCCGGCCCGTGCAGCCGCCGGCGAGTCCTTGGCCTCGCGACCGGGAATAGGCGCCACGTTTCGGTTCGACCTGTCGGGGAGGTCGTCCGACTTTGAGCTGAGAGACGTGACCCGCCCCGATGATGCTCGGGGCGCAGCCCCCCGCAGACCTGGGGGCGCCATGTCGGCCTCCGCCCCGGTGCAGGTGACGCACAACTGCGACGCTGCGCGCGCAAAGTTTCTTGGCATCAAGGCGACCTACTACCTGCAGTGCGCGCACGAGCCGGGGCGCTCCATCGCGGTGCACGTCGCGCCTCGGACTTTCACCGTCGCCGACCGAACCGGCGATAACACCGCGTCCAACTTGTTTGAGCTGGAAATGGTGTGAGGAGCATATACATTCGTGAAACGTGTGTTTTGTAGTTGAGAGTTTTGGCTTTTGCGGAAAGGCCCCGGAGCCGTAGAGATTTCGCCCCCCGGCCCCGCGCCCCCTGCCCCAGACATGTGTGAGGAGTATATTACACGTGCGGCGGGGGCAGACCCGAGCGCAAACAGAATCAGAAACACAGGATTGGTCTTCTCTGCCTGCGGGAACACCCTCGGGCGGCCGGGTGGGACTGCGGCTGGAGCTAGCA